GTTTGATTCTCCCCTCCCAATATTTCATTTCTGAAATCAAATTTAATCTCTCACTTAAATGAACTGGAATTTCAGGTATGGAATACTCATTGGTGAAAAGGTGCTTTAGAAAGTACTGACATTTACATGAGATTCCTAATACTCCTTAAACATGATGAAGTATTCAGGCGTCTACCAGAGAAAGAAGTAAGAACATTCTCAAGTGACAATGCAACATATATTTTCCAGCAGCCTAAGGCAAGGAAAAGGCTGCCTCTCTGAAATGCTGCCTACTGCATTACACTGCAAAACACCTACATGAGATTCAGTAACATACTTTGATAAATAATGTACTTACAGCATGGCCAAATGGATAAAACAAATGAAAATCCTTATATGTTCACTTTCATTCATGTATTTTTACAGTGCCTTCATAATTCCTACTGCCATAATCCTGACACATAACATGAGGCATAAGATTAAATTACACCTTGATATAAGGGATATGTTTAGATATACCTTAAAAAGACAAACCGATATCACAGGCAAATGCACTGAGAGCTGTGGTCTCAACTCTGATGAACTTAAGCCTTATTCAGAAATCTCACTGAACAGTGCTACAACATTAAAGTCAGCATGCCATTTTATACGTGTATTTCCTACACCATTTCGATTGAAATGGTATGTAAAATTTCTTCTGTTCTGACAGAGGATCTGGTTTTAAACTAGCTCATTAAAAACTAACATTCACAGTGTTCAGAAAACAAAGAGGGTAAGAAAACTGCTTCTCCCAAAGCTATCATTTCAGAGCAGTGAAGTCTGCTGAGTGCTCCTGAATTATCATCAGATGGGCACAAGCAGGAAGCAAGTTACACTACTGTTTATCAGACTACAAGATGTGTAAGTGCTGCTGAATATGAATAAAAAAGAATTAAAATAATCATTCTGACCTTATAGGGGTCAAGACTCCCTCTCTCCAAAGCTACTGCATACCGAAGTAATAGCTGTTCTTCATTTACTCAAGACCAAATGTTTCTCAAGGCATGTTCAGTAACTTCTAACATAATCTCATTCCACACAAAAGGAAATTGGTTATTTGTATGTTATCCAAGGAAGGCTGAGTAATTCACTGTGGTAGGAAAGACCTCTAAAAATAAGTCACCTCTCAGCAGATTCACTCCCTTCCTGTCTGGTTTTGAATTGGTTTGCAACAGCATGAAAAGACAAAGCTTGAGGATGAACTACAGAGAACTTCTGTAATGGTAACACTGCTCAAATACATTCATTTCACTCCTACTCTGTTTAAAAAAATCCAACTATTAGGGGTGGAGCAAGCCAGTGACCAACAGGATGTGCATAACCAGAGCTCCCTGTGTGTAGCCTTCTGCTTTCATGTTTATTTTTGGATGTATTTTCCTTTGTGCTTTGAAATAGGTTTTTGGGCAAGGTAGCTAGCATCACACTCACTCATTGATGCTAAAGAGGGAAAGCAAGTTCTTATCAACACAAAGAGTACTTCTTCCTACAGATTCATAGAGCACCTTGGAAGTCTACAGTGTTATAGTAGTGATGAATAACTTTTTTCATGTTTATGAGTGCTCCTCAGAGATGAAGGCCAGGGACAATCAGTGCACAACAGCACGTCACCAGTGATTCCCATAACCTCCTAGAGCTTCTTCATCATGGAACAGTGTTCAGCAGTGTGAGAACCTAACCACAGATTTCATCATCTCCAATCTGCTATAGGAGCCATTGATAGAAAACAAATCTCCAAGGATCAGTAAGCTTAGAAGTTCACCAGATGTTCCCAAATAGGATGCTACTTCAACAGATATAGTCATTAGAGAAAAGACTAGGCCATTTTAACTGGTAATTGTTGTTATAATTTCTTTTGACCAGCATTCCCTGACTGTTAAAAATAGAAGTCATAGAAAAATCTTTCTGTATATAAAGGGTTGATTGAATATGTGGTTCCATATATTACAGAAAGTATCTTATTATATTTTTGATAAAGAATATCCTATCTTTTCTTCAAAAAGTATTTAAATTTGTGAAACTGACAGAAGAAGAGTGATAAAAAAAAGAACAAAGTCTGTTTAGAAGTAGCAATCTCTTCCAGGTATACACCCAATTGTAATGATACTCAAAGAAATTAATATTTTGCTGTATATTCTGTATTAAATGTTAATAAGCCACATCTGGTCTGTGAAACATTCTATCAATCCAATTGTTTCTTAGAGCAATACAGCTAATACAGGAAAAGTTACTCTTCAATCTAAACAAAATTCAGAAAAATCTGTAAATTCATAATATAAAGTTATAGAGATTCTGAAAATTCTTTCTAAACTTAGAAATAACTAAAATAGATAGGTATTATATCTTTCTCTCTTAAAATCTAGTTTCAGGATTTATCCTAAAAGATTCATAAGCAGTATAAATGGGTATTTATTTGTCTTTCAAAGAACTGTATAGATTTGTGATAGAAAAACATTTGTTGCAAACTTCATCAGTAGGTTTCAATGTTAACAAACTTTTACTATAAAGGAAGATAGTTCATAGCTCTTAGTCCTATCATTTCAGATTAGTTGCACAATAAATTAAAGTCAATACTAAATCAATGTATACTGGTTCATTTTCCAAGATTATATTCACAACCCAAAAATAAAAAAAGAATATTAAAAATTGAAATCTTGGAATGTCCATGCTCTGCATGCCAAAAAATCTTTAATCAGTTAACAGTTTTCCCTAAGAGGTAAATTTCCCCAGAAGTAAATTTCATGGGGGAGGGGGGGAACCAAACAAAAAACTTAATCATATATAAAAAATTTTCACTTCTATTATTAATCATAAAAATCCTACATTCACAAAAGCAGTAACCATTTTAAGAATTCCAATCCTACAGTTTAGTTAGGTTGTTCTTAAACTACAGTATTATTATTTTGGCATTGTTCAACATTTTTTTAGTGGAGAAACTACTTCTTTCTGGAATTAAGTTCTCATTATCTGCAGAGTTGAAATTTGTATGCACTAGATTTTAGTTTTTACCATATCTGGATTGTAATGACATCGACATTGTTGCCTTCTCCTATTTTTCCGATGGTACTACTGTTAATAAGTATCTGTGATTCATTCTTGATTTTGTGTGGGGTTTCACTAAAAACAAATTTAAAAGTTATCTGAATGGCATGTCACTATATTAATAACTGTTTCCCCATATGGGCTTTGTTACATCAAAGATATATGATTAGGATAAGGTAGATAGAACACCACAGCATCCATAACATATCAAAAAGTTTCCTTGAAGAAAAGTAAATACAACAACAACAACAGTAATAATAATATTGATAATAATATACTGTTGCTATTGCTAGTACATTTTGGGGAAATTTTCTTAAATATGTTTCTGTCTGGTTTTTGAACATTTCTTGTTTATCATACCTTAGCTGCAGTTCATGTAGGCTTTGGGATTAGTAGATTGCAAGGAAACAAATATTGCCTTGAAAAAAACAAACAGCTTAATCCTACCTCAGACCAACCAGCAAAGCTTATTTCGTGGCATAATTTTCCACTCACTAAGAGCACAGGGACAGCCTCTTTGAAAGAAAGCACATTGAAATACATGAAAAGTTCACTGTAAATCTGCACAAAAGGCCAAGTACCACAAAGCCAAAGTGTGGTCTGTGAGTGACACCTGCAGCATCTGTGACATGCTCTACTGCACAATTTCATGAAATCTGCAATAGGCTCCCTATGATAGCTCCCAATACTTTCAACACACATGACCTTTTTTGAAAGCATCTATAATCAAAAAACTCATCAAAATCAGTAAAATCTCCTGTAGAGAAAAAAACATGAACTGCAGAAAAATATTGCATTCTGGATTTCTTCAAATTTGCTATGAGACTTTATGAGCATTTTGTTTTAGCTGTAGCCATTGCCAAAAAACCAGTACAAATCGTGGCTATGCAAGTCAAAGAATGATATCTGATATTGTCAGAGCATTCAATGGCAAGCACGTTTCATTCACACATTGGTCTTTCATGCCTTGGTCATGCTGTACCATTAACTATGCTCAAGGCAACGTATCTGCAGACAGGTGATATTAGTGCTGTTTCCTCAGTCAGTGTAGCTAGTTGTGGATTTGATTTTCCTTCTGATATGCTTCCTTTAGTACTTCTTTAGGACAATTATTTGGAGTATAATGTTGCTCTTTCTCAGGAAAAGAGAAAGCCAAAAAAATCCCATCTGTCTGCACTCAGGAGAGAAGCAAAACTAAAACACTACAACCTGCATCTATTTCTTAAATATAGTGTCCCTAGATCTGCAACTTTAGGACACTGTCACACCATCTGACAGTACAAATTGGCAATAGTGTAGGCCAGGCCAACAGGATGCCTTCCAATTCCCAGAACACTTTTCAAATCAAGTGTAATCCTTACAAAAATGCAAACTGATTCAAGTCCAGTGACTTAGCACAGTAACATGTCAATGACGTCTTCTCAGCATGGATACCAAAGTACGTACAGATGATAGAATGAAGAACCTCAGCAGCACCTTCTCCACAAAGGAAAGTTTCAAGGGAATTCACATGTAATCAGTAACTTAATTTTTAAGTGATCTTGATCCATCTGCAAATTCTAAACCCCTTACAGCTGGTGATGAGAGAGGAGTAAAGGAGAATAATTTAAAATATCAGAGTATATTAAGGGTAGACTCTCCTCATAAATGCTGGCAATAAAAGCAAGTTTAAGGCTAAGAAAGCAACACCTGCAGTATACAAATAAACTCCACCAGAAATTTCACCCAAGTTATTTCATTAGAAGAAGCCCGCAAGAAACAAATACAGGAGTATGTAATCATGCAGAATACAAAGCACTAAAAAGAAGTAAAAAGACTTTCCTTTTTGTCCAAACTAATTTAAAAGAATCATTACTTTGCTTACAGTTTAAATGTGCTTATATTTCATTACAAAGGTTAAATCACTTTTTTTCTGCATAAACTACAAATACATCTGAATTTACCTCCCAAAGTGCTTTAAAGTCCTTCTGCTCAATTCGAAGGAGCTCACTATATTCTCTGGTAACGATGGTTGCATGGCGAGGAGTGTTATCCAGAATGGACTCTCCAAAAGCAGTTCCTATTCCCAGAGTGCATATTGTCACAGCATCCTTTGAATTAAAAATAAAAGGAAACATATTAAATATTCCAATATGTTTTATGAGTCTTTATGTCACATTTGCTAATAGCACTGTATTAAGATTCTTCAATTTGCTTTAAAAGAAAATTAATTAAAAGTGCCAACAAAAAAATCAATATGCTGATTAACAACACAGAAAGCCTCAATGTGAAAGCAAGTAGGACTTCTGTTTTCTATGGCCATCAGTTGAATTAGACACTTCTGTCTGCGAAGCAAAGAACACAAGAGTCACCTTCAAAAGAAAGTTATGACTTCTGTTCCTCTACCTCTAAAGACTGTTGTGATGATAAGATTCTTTAGAAATGTCAGAGGTGATCAGAAGATAACTACCATCAGAAATGCAACCCTGGAATATAAATTTCTGCCTTATATAGGCTACCCTCATCAGAAAGAAGATTTGACTGTTATGTTTTCTCAGTAAACATAACTTTCAATTATAATATCCTCTTGTATTTATAATGCATTTCTCTATTGTATAAGGTCTGTCTCGTACAGTTTTATCAACTCTTGGCCTTTCTGTTGAAAATGCTAGTAAATCTCTCAATCATTAATGGATGCCTGCCAACTAAGCACCAGAAAAAAAAACCTCTTTACACTTAAGTCAGAGATTTCAAGAAAACTATTAAAAGTCCAAAACAACCTGGAATAGAGTATTCAGGATGGTCATGAAGTAAAGTCCATTTCAAAAGAGTCTATGTGAGCACATGCCATTCATGTGATGGAAAGATGTCTAAATCAATCCCCCTTGGCCAGGAACTCCTCTGTAATAGTTCCAAGATAAATTAAGACCTACTGCAGACAAAAAAATTAGAGTACTCAGAATTAAATTACTTGCTGAATCAAGATCTTCAGATACATGTTCTACTTTAGGCTTACAAGTTGCTATGTTCCTGAGCATAGGCTTGAAACTGAACACTTACATATGTCTCTTTCTAAGTTGGGCCTTAACTGACTTTTGCGTAATTAAAAAAAAATAGCAATAGCATTAAAAATTTAAACTGATACAAACTGCACTTTATTAAGGAAATCATACATGCACACAGACAAATACACAGAAACATATTAAAAAACATGCTAATTTTACTTGATACAACATAAAAAATAGTCTAATTCTAAAATGTAGGATTCATGAAATGTCTACAAAAATAAAAGCAGAAAATTTGTCATCCCATCCGGTACATCCTTGTGGCTGATAATCCAGGAGAGATGCAGAAGCATATTTCAGCATCGTTTTCTGTGTTTAAAATTGCATTGTGTTCCTTTCATGCATCTAATAAGTGCTAATAGGCAAATGTTATTAAGATCAAGTTAGTAGCTTTATAATTGCATTACAAAGACAAATGCCCATAATAGTCCAGTTCCCTGAACCATAGCAAATTGCTTTTGCACAGATATTACCATATAAAATTATGTGTTCAGGAAATCAAAATCAATTATGTCTTAGATAGATCTAGGAAAAATTTACCAACTGTCAGAAATAAATTTTCAAGGAAGGCAAATATGAACAGGCACTGTTTAAAAGAAAGAATATTGGGGAATGAGCACCTAGGCACGCAAATAGAAGTCTCTACAAAGACCCTATAAAATAAACTATACACTAAAGTTCTGCTTTAACATGCTTACCTTTCAGAGCTGAAACACTATATGTGTGCTACCATACTCACAATTGCACCTAAAGGAGCTACCAAGAAAATATGCTTACTGCTCAAACAAAATTTGATCTCCATGTCCTCAATGCATTATTCTCAACTTTATTTAGAAAGTTCAGATAAAAAGCAATCTCTGTTTAGGGCAGAATAAGCAAATAGCCTGGCAGAAAAAGCCATCAGGTGGATCATAAGCAATATGTACATCTTCCAACTTATTTCTCACTCCTTTCCCTCCCTCCAAAAAAATAAACTCCTTTGAAACACTTCACCTTTTTTGATTCTTTACAACTCTAAAGAATATATCTTTAAAGACAGAATACAGAAGAAGAGAAAAGGAAAAGTGTTAGTTAAGGAACCACTTTCTAAGATAACTTCTGATGAGGCAGCTGTTCAGCCTGGGACATAAATTAACATTGATGGGGTGTTAAACCAGGAGCTGGAATGGTTGTATCTACGTTCGTTAAAGAAAAGTTCAGGCTTCCATCAAGTGAAAGTTCTTTTAGGTTTTTTCCCCAGCCATCATTGCTCTCCATAGAGATGCAGTTTTGCAGCCAGCTAGGAAGCAAGCCCATCTGTTTTCTTCAAGACTTCAGAGCCCCATTTTCTCTCTGCCCCTTGTTTATACCTCTCCAGCCTCCTGGGGAATCAGGTGCGCGTTTCCTATTACGCCTGTTAACCTTATATTCAAGAATCTCCTGCTGTTCAGCATAGACTTCAGGAGGATTGCTGGCAGCTCAAAATTCAGTTTGCTGTTCCCCTCTGCAATCCCAGAAGCAGCAGGGGGTTCTAGCTGCTGGTAACCAGCTAAAATTCACACAGCTATTTAAAAAGGCAGTATTAAAGACTTAAAAAGATGAGATTGTTTCCACTGCTATCTGTTCTCTGAACACACTATAAAATGGTAACATTCAAATCCAAGGCTGTTTGTGTATTCAGTTTCACTGACTCTCACTGGCAGGTGAGACACATGCAGTGAAAGAGTTGTTAAACTTCCCCCCTCATCAATTTAAAACATTATTGAATTTGTAAGACCATTCTATGGAATGGATGAGAATCAGAAACAAGGCTCTGCCGTATTCTCTCCCCCACCATCACAAGGCACATCTCTGCATGTTCCTCCCGGACCTGTGACACTTTCTATTTTCCAACCTGGCAAACAGAATTTTTGTCCTGTCTGTAAACAAAACCATAATGTCTGAAAGAGAAATTAAGAAAACAGGGAAAGCTAGGTTGAAAGGTATTGGGCACTTTTCTTTGAAATTTTAGTTTATTCAATATTTTGAGTTTGTAAGGGAGTTGATGTAGCTAGTTTGTTTTTAATTTCATCATTTTCCCACACCTTGTACCTTTAACTCACCTCTGCACCTGTGTCCCTCCAGGACTCCACACCATCTCCATGTTTAATTGGAGATCTGCAAAAGCTGGCATTTTTAAAAGTTTGCTTATTATTACTTTGACACAGTTCAGTTTGTCCTCAGCAAAAATTTCCTTTTATAACAAAGAAACCAAAGGATACTCATGAAAGTAAACTATCTGTTCTATGAAGTGATTTTCCCGTTTCATTACCTCCACTGGAGTATGTTTCAGCCATTCAGATAGGAAATCCTTATCAAACTACTTTTAAAGATAATGTAGGAATATCTTCCCACGCTAGAATTACAGTTTGCCAACATATGTTAGGCCATCTTCTTTACACAAGACAAGGTGATCTGCTTAAAGGAGGCATTATGCTTCTAGAAAGACTGTGACCAACTTCTCTTCTAGTTCCTAATTAAAATATTTACAGATCAGATTAATAGTACTGTAATAACATATTCATTATTTCCATACCTTTCTATCTGATTCTCTAAAAGCTACCTGCAATGTCTTGGACTTTTTGCTAGGTTATCTGGCAGACAGAATTGAAATTATTTTTCTATATTAACTTTCAATAAGTCAAGTTTAAAGCCAAAATTAGTACAACCACAACAGCATGGAGCTCAGCATGAGCGAACACACCTTGCTTCTCAGCTGAGTACATTAGTCCAGCCAATCTCTGTGTTACAATGGGTAGAGCAGATCTCATGCTCAAGCTAAATAATTTAAAGCTAGCTTGGGCATATTTATACTACACTACACTACACACTACAGTACAAATCTATGTTGCGACTTCACATATGTTATCTCCAAAATACATAATGGCTATTCACATGCACACATAATGGCATTTACATGCAGAAAGCAGTATTGCAAGGACTGTCCTGTTTAAATCCCTTTCCTTGTTTCTACTTCATCTTATCACATATTCCTTTGTCCTCAAACTGCCAGGAAATTCTTCTCTTTCTTACATGAACATCTGAACCTCTTTCTTCACAGTCATTCTTCTCAGCAACCCCACTAACTTACTTGGCTTTTGATCCCCAGCCCTCTGCATCTTCCTACAGCTGACGTTGCTGTACCACCCAAGCACCCACAGCTCCTCCTTTAAAGCTTTTCTAAAAAAGGCTACTGGTTTGTAAAGTCAATGCCCTCTGTTCAGTTTGGTCTGTTTTTAAAATCCAATGAGCTTCAAAAAATCCACCAAAACACAGGCAAGACAAACTAGCAATAGCCCTCAGCGCACACTATGATTCAGCTGGCAGACTACAGGAAAACTGCAGATCAAATTGCTACTTAGTCTTTGTCTTTTTTCTCTTCATTCCTGCCTGTTTTATCAGATAGGAATATAAATCTTAATCATTTGGGGTAAGAGGCTCTGAATCTAATTCAGTAAAACACAATGGTGCAGAGTCTGGCAAAGACATCACACTGATGCTTTTGTTGTAATGCATTTATTCCCAGCTTTATTCTGAGACATTACCAACAGTCATCCTTCAGAACCTGTTCATTTTCAAAATAGAGTTCTAAAAGTAAACATACACAAGGCAGTCAGTAGTATTTTTAAGACAATACCAAACTAGGAATATCTCTAAAAGGAACTTTTATTACTCTATACCTCGGTTGTAACACTGGGTAGGTAACAGTGCCAAATAAAAATTAAATTCAAAATCTGTTCATAACTGAGGATAAAGACTTCTTTCTGATAGATTCTAAATAGGCTGCATTTTCTGTTTATTTTGAAGGGAACTAACTAAGTCTTTGTGTGACTTTTAAGTACAATATTTATCAGGGTATTTGTTATAAACAAGTTGAGGCAAGACCAAAACAGTTCATTACACTTACCTCTGGGGAAAAAAAAAAAAAAAAAAAAAAAAAAAAAAGACCTCTTCAGACTCTTCTTGATTGTTGAATAGCCATAAAATTCATAAACCTGTCAGATCTCTGTATTGTAAATTGTATTGTCCCAATTTCAATGGCAAATTAAATTATATCAGCAGCAGCAGCAGCTAGCATATTTTACCACCTCAGTGGAACAGAACTATCAGTAACAGAGAAATCTACTCTGGTGAAACTCTTTAAAACAGGTATATTGTAAATAGTTGGATACAATTTTCAAACTAGCCATTTTAGTATTAAATATTGTCTGTACTCAGTTTGTTATGTATTCTAACACTGCCCTCTTGTGACATAATACAGTTTTGCAAGCAGTCAGGAAGGATTTTTCCAAAACAAGAGGAAAGTGAGGTTTTATGTATGAGATCCTAAATATGTGTGTTTGTCTTTATTAAAACATTTAAATCAGTACATAGAATGCTTCCTCTTATCATAATAGCACAAAATAGGTAATGGTAATATTTCTGTTCATATGCATTCTCAACTTGGTCCTAATCAGTATTACAAACATTTTCTGTAAGAAATCACAAGTGTCTGCATAAGTAAGCTCATGTGCAGCAAGAATGTGTATGAATTAATACTTCACTAGCTAGACTGAAGTCTTGATCCATTAGTGCATTTAGATATAATTTCTAGTGCAATGTACACTAGAAGGCATGTAGTTACATGCCTCTGTAGGAGCAAAGGCCATTAAGACATTCTTAGTAAGCACCAAGTGCACAATAACTTACTGCACTTTTAATGGGAGAAAGCTACCAAACACTAAAGGTGACTCCATAAAGCACATGGTAGCTGTTACACAACGCATTTGTTCCCAGGCTTGCTGAAATTTAAGTTCCCCAGGTAGACAGATAAGCACCTAGTAAAAGTAGGACTAATATATTTTTAGTTGAGAGAATTGATTTTCCATACTTACATTAACACTGTAGGCATCATCATATAATCATATGATTATTCAAACTACAGGAAAACTCAGGAGGTCATCTAGTACAACCCCCTGCTCATCTTAAGTATTAAAAGATTATTAGCCGTGTCTAAAGACTTTTTAACCAACAGGAACCTAAATACAAAGTTAGCTTCTCCCTTCCTAGAAAAGATAGCATACTCCTTCTCTACTTTTACATGAGACTACAAACTTCTAAACTTGTAAACTCAGGTAAACGTTTGCATCTCTTCTGGTCTGCTGCAAGTTTCTCATTAGCATTAGTGCCATTTATGGTATAACAGTAACAGCACACCAATTAAATATTACTGTGACTTTGTAAAGGAAGCTTTGGCTCCTGGGTGCTGTTATTGGAAAATGTGCTCCAGGGTAGGTTACAAGCATCCCTACATCTTAAGCTCTGGTCATCCATTCCCAGCTGGGACCGCAATGCTGGCAAATGGGTCTATCAGGGCTGCCCACCTATGGAGCTATACTCGATTTCCTCCATCATCAGGGTTTGTTGTGAGCACAGTAGGCAGGCAGTGCTAGCAAGTACTTCAAGCTCAAAAATGACTAGCACCATGACAACAAGGAAGTACAGGCAAGACAGGAACAGGGCACCCAGGAGGTAAAGGCAGGACAAGGAGTTAGAGACAAGGATGGACAAGGAGGGACATGATATAAACACTAAGATGGTGCAAAACCAGAGAAAATGTTGGATTCAAATGCTATTTAGGAGTTCCCAACCACCAAACTTATCCAGCACTGGAATGGTAAATGCATGAGCTGCTGTCCTTTTGGCAGTGAGGCTGTATCCTATGGCAACTAGGCAGTGGTAAGAATTCAGTTCATTGCTCCTGTGAGAAGGAAATGTGAGGTTAAGAAATTACTGCAGAATATAATTTCTAGAACCAGAAGTACATGAATTGTAGTTCTGTAGTTTCCTATTGGCAGGAAAATGCAGTGAACCTGAATAAGCAGAAAACAATATTTACATTAGATTTCTTAAAAGGCTGCAGTGTTCCATCCTCCATCTAATGGAACAAATCCACATTCCAAACAGATTCTTAATTTAATTTCCACATCCAGAACACTTTTGTGGACATATTTCTTTCTGATTCAGTGAAGAGTATTGGTCCTTAAAAACAGTGTAGTGCCATCTTTTGGCAAACACCAGAAAATATTCCTGATTGCTTTAGACCTGCACAGAAAAGGGTCTCGTAAGAGCCCAGTACTGTTCCAAACTGTGACAATACTAATGACAGCCAGGCCATGCTGAGAATTGCTCAAATTAGGACAATTATACTCTCAATCAGCCTCTACTTAGTATAGTGAAGAGGTGGCTAAAAATAATGATATGAAAGAAGTTCCTTTTGTATCTATCATTTTACTATAAGAAGTAGAAAGACCCAGTGCTCACATGCTGCCCTGACTTGCATTCTGACCCAATTTCACTGGTGATACAGAGCTCAACAAAGTGAAAAATCCAATTTCTGCCATCTTCTACGAGCAAGAAACCCTTCCCAATCAGCCAAACTTTGGACAAAGAATACTCCACCACCACCACCCCCATGCATGCTATGTTCAATCAAGGCGGGGAAAAGGTATAGTGTATATATAGCTATACCACTCACGTAAAGGCAAAGTGAGTCACACGTCAGAGGTACAACCCCATGCTGAGCTACATGATGGGACAATCCCAGATCTCAAACATGTGACCAGGGAATGGGACATGATGCCTTCCCAGAAGACTCAGCTCACAGCAGGAAGTCTGACATGTCAGCATGACATTAGACAACATGGGTGGGAGACTCTCTCCAGGAGAAATATCTAATCCTTTTTTTCTTTCTGTATTTACGCTAAATTCCCAATTTTGTAAATCCAGGAGTGCAAAGATCTTGTGAAATCACTTGCAGTTTGGAGGGAATTTTACTTGTTCTTCTGTTTCTTAACACTGAATAGATATTACTTCCAGGCTTCTGGTCTAACACGGCAGGAGTTCCAATGCTCTGCTATTACTATACTACTTTCCCATTCTTGCAGTGGAGACTGCAGTAAGCTGTTATCAGACTGCACTGTTGGTGGGTTTGGTCTGAACTTTCTGAACAAGGACTGAATTAAAATATTTCCAGGGAATGAATTAACAACTCTTAGATCTTTAGCTTAACTTTGTATGGCACTATTAGAAAAGACAGAGAAGTCTTGTTTCATATTAAAATGTAGACCCCTTTTCAGAGCATTACATTTCAGTCTTCTTGAAAACAATGGCATGATTTGCCTCCATAGACAAAGGACAACTGAGACTAAAGGAGACTCAGAGAAACATGCTTGTGATAAGACAAAATATCTGTATGATATATGTCATTGTTATCTACCTCAGCATAAGTCATACTCTTTCTTTGTACTACTGACTGGATCGTCTCAATGAAAAATCTATTTTACCTGGTGGTTGCTTGTATCAGAAACCTTCACATCCAGTGATCCTGTCAGAACAGCATACCAGTTTGTCCCAATATCACCCTGACGGAATACTGGAAAGATGAAATCTTGTAAATAAAAGCTATCTCTTTAAGTTTAGCAACATTAACAAACATTTTCCCTCATATTACTGTACTACTGTAGTCACTACTGGCACTACAGAATTTGCCATATCAGACTACTTACTTACTATTACAATAATATTTCCAATGACACTGGAAAGCACATATTACAGTAAACTGGTCAATACACTACAGAAACAATGAGAGCACATAGAATTGCTTCACTCTTCTCCCCAGTTAGCTTCTCTTTTACTGCTATCTTAGTTAATAAACAAAATAAACAAAAAAAAACACAGAAAAACTTTCTGAACAATGTCCCTTTGAAATTCAGAATCTTCCAATGCAGACATAGCTCCCACTGACTTCAGTAAGAGCTCTCACTAAGAAGCAACTGCAGGACTTTGATGTTCAGGCATTCCAACTGTGTGATCACACAGCATCAGAATTCCTATTACTTTAAGCAAACCCCTGGGCTGTGTGCCTAAAGCATGCCAGATTTACCTGAGGGGTATCTGAGACTCTACCAAACACCATAGGTCTCCATCAGCTATTCCCCTGGAACAGCTCTGGGAACTCACACATTCCTATCACAGGACCACCACTTATTTCCATCTCAGCTTCATAGACCAAGGACAGCTCTCCACCTTCATCTGGCACATGGGCTGCCAGAGCAAGCACAGAGCTGTGGTTCCCCACAGCAGTATGCAGCTCTGCAAATCTCTTTGGTGTTATTCAGAGTGACTGCAAACCGCACACTATTAAGACATGCCTAGGTGATACACTTTTGCCCCTGACATCACAAAGCACCTACAAAAGAGATCAATAATCATTTACGGGGAAAGAATGAGGCTTTAGTGCAATGACTTGCTTCTAATCTTTCCACAAAACAGTGGCAGAGTCTTACATCCAATAATGTGTGCCTTGTTACCATAGATTCACTACACACTGTATTTGTAGAGCAAGCAGCACTTTAGCCCTGCTGTCCCCCATGACTGTGACTGTAAACATTTTTATGGCCGTTCCACTGACTGTGCTCTCTCACCGATCTCCTAGAGACAGTCCCAGCCTAACCCCCAATTTTATATACATAAAATAGATCATCATATGAAGCTGTCTTACATGTGATTCCTTTTTCCAGATTTTCATAATATCCACAGAGACATATCTGCTGGAGAAGGTTTGGATGAAATTTCTCAAAAGCTTTCACTTCTTTCAGACGTGTAAAAATTATATCTACATCTTCACTGGAACGTTCCAAAGGTCTGCAAGAAAACAAAGGACAAAACTCTCAAGGGCTTTATCAGAGAAACATCCCCACTTGTATGCACCAAACTTACAAATGTTTGCATTAAATGTCACACTATAATATAAACCAACTAAAATGCATTTCACACGTACATAATGAAACCCTTCCAAGACATCCTAACAACTGTCCGTTATCAACTTGAGCATGATTATTATCATTTCAACACAGGCAGTGCCCAGAAGCCCCATTTAGCACCAAAGTCCTGCTGTAGCAAGTACTGTAAAAGTATATATGATGATACAGTCCTTATCCTAAAGAGCTTAGAATTATATATAGTTTTAAGTTTGTAAGGGAGCACGAATAAACAGATGTCCAAACATACAAGAGGTCTGTGGAATCAGTGCCCAAAATAGAAGTTCTCTATTTGGCTAAAAGAAAAGCTTTAGATATCAGCAGAAACTCCCATATCCACATCTCTCTCCTGCATTTTACTGGGTACAAATTAACTTGAAGGTTTTTTTCTCTTCTCACTTGCAAGCAAGAAAGACAACTTTAATAAGTACATTCTCTTTCACACAGTTTCTGTCTCAGTGTTGGACAAATTAAATATGCAAGCAAGGATCTTAACTCTTCATTGGTAAGGGTAAAGAGTTTTAATCTAAATATTTTAAATAATCTATGACAGTAACACCTTTAAAAAACCCAAGATTTCAAGAAAAATAAAATTGTACAACTCCCTCCAACAAAGTAGCATGTGGACCAGCAGTTCAGTAGGTTCAGAAAACTACTACATATTCATGAAACTAAAGTGAATTAGTTCCATAGCATACATTTTAAATGTGATTATCAAATGTTATGAATCAGCATAAGCCAACCACTAACTGACAGCATTAGAAAGAATCTTTCATAACTGACTAAATGCCTACCACTACACACAGAAAGAAACATAGAACATTCCTAGGAGATCATGATGGATCAGATGCAGAAATCATTTATGGATAAAGGGGTACAAGAAAGATAGACAACTGTCTGTGATCATTAGACCAATCACTCACTCAAATGCTGCTAGTTAATTTTACTGACAAAAATGTTCTTTTAGCCAGTGGATGAGCTTCTAAATCAACAGAAGTCAGGTAGCTTAGAATGAATCAAGATGAAGTTCACAAATACACATCTTTATCACCTTATTGTTACACCCACAATGTAAGTACTCCTTCCAACAGGGTTGGTTTTTTTAAAAATACATCTCTGAAATCAAACACTTAAGGGATTCGAATCTTTGTCTCAGGGAAGAAGCCCAGATCCTACTCACTTTGAATGTCTGACTCTCATCTTTCTTATTAAATTAAGTCTAGGAGGGATTAAATCTCTATCCTCATTTATACTCCAACTTACCCTTATTAACTATAGATGAGAATAATAACTCTCTGGTGTATACAGTTGCTTCTACATCATAGTGACATCCTCTTACCACTTCAATCCACACCCAACTACAACAGCTCCCTTTTGAAATATTTCAAGTAAGATTTTCACCCATTCCTTTTTTTTTTAACTGTGCACTAGCTGACAGGTATTAATAAGCATTAACTCTCTTGTCAAAATCCTTTTAAGAAGATTAGGAGGTGCATCTCGCAAACAGATTTAAAATCCATTTATCCAAGATCCCTACCCAAACCACACTAGCCTTGGAAAACTAACTCCCTTAATGCATGGGCTTTCAAAATTAACAGCAAAACCCAATAAAGAAAAAAAGGAAGATCATCCTCAGAATATCCCCTTTTCCTAGAAAAACTGCCTCTGAGACTGTTACGTTCATACAACTGCTCACAGCTGACTCTGTTCAAGTCCATCAGTTCATTTGCATAGAATTGACTGTAGGTCTCAGTGTTTAGTGTTTTTAATAGTTTGATGCAGTCAGACAGGGGAAGAGCAAACAGAGTTAGCAAACAACATGCATTAGGTTGTATAAACTTAATGAACAGTTCTCTCGGTGCTCTTACTGAAATGCGAGTTCAGAAATCTCTTTTACTTCTAGTCCTGTCAAAAGGACAAGATTTGGGGGGATTTAATTCATAGACTGCGTAGCTTTATTTTCCTGAGAGTTGCTGAAGGCTCAAGAGACAGGGTTTCCATCTGGTTCAGAAGGTGAGAGCAGGGTTCACTTCCACTGATGTGACAAGGAGGGTCTTGTGTCAGGCAGATGAACTGCAGGAAAAGCTCTTCTGACAAAACTGCTTCATGACCCCAGCAAAGTGAGTAATCATGGAAGGACAAGCATTCTCACAGGCAGCTGAGCCACACTTTTCAGAGTTTTAAACATCAGCACAGCAGTAAGAAACCAAACTCCGCATTTATTGGGAAAGACAAATTAAAGTTGTGTGTTCCTAGTGGCTTACTTTAGCATGCAGCTGAGCTACAGTGCTTTGTATTAGCAGCAGTTACTTCCACTTCGAGTACACGAAGTGGGCATTTGAAGCGGAGCACGCAAATATGCTCTAAACAAAAAGAGGAATCCAAACTTCTAAGTAATATGCATAGTGGTAATCTGAAAATTGTTATACTCCTTACAATGTTTCTTAATAACTCATTACTGCAAGCCATTTGTTTCAGTAGCCTTTCTTCAAAATATACTGGGTTTAATATTACTGTGTACAACTAAATTTCCACAAATTTACTGGGAGGGTACACATTTTGATCCAGCACATTTGGAAACAAAACTAGAATTTGGAGAGGCTTTCAGTGAATGATTTAATCATTAATCTATCTTAGAAAAGGTACCTTCTTCTCCAGCTGTGTTTTACCGGAAATAAAAAAAAATAATAAAAAAAAAAGGGGCAGCAGCCAGTACAGAAACATGCAAGGAATCTTAACTGTACCCCAGAATAACAACTTATTAATGTCTCTCAAATGAGACACACAGACAAACACCTAGTTTAAGATTTAGCTGCTTGTTTATATCGTGAGTAAGCATAAAAATGAACTAGGATCCAAGTTGTTTGACAACAAAATGCTTTCGGATTTAATCAGAGCTCCTTGGAAATATCAATGTCTAAGAGTAAGTAATTAACTAACACTTGGTGGCCCAAGCTGAGGTGGCCCTTAGTCTTTACTAGGGCATGGAATTTTGCCTGTGTAAAAACTCCTGATTGCAGTGTAACAGAAATAGTAGTAGCACCCAAACTCTGTTCTATCATGTGCTTATAATCTATAACAATGAGATCAGTTTCAAAAGGATAGTTTTACTTAGTGAGAGAGCATAATGAGAATAATAAAATAGCATGGCATCAATTAACTGCTTTTCTACATGGCTGCAAAACTCAGGTAAAGTTTCACCACTTTCTACGAAGTATATTTTAATAAAATTATCATTATGGTAACTATTGTTATCATAATTAAATTAACATTAATGAATCTATCTATGATGCCAAATTTTGTTTTCCATTTCCTAAGTACAAGCTGCTTAGCATGGAACATCAGTACAGGACAACACATTTACTTCCTGATTGCAGCTATCTTTCTAAGTTGCTGTGAACTTGGCTTTTTTAAAGCATAGTTTGGAATAATATTTAAACAGACAATATTATAATATATTCCTTAGAACATTAATGATTAAACCTATTAATTAGAAAAGTACTGCTGATGGCAGATGAAAAATTATTCAAGCTTTAATGTCACTTTAGTCACACTGATAGGAGGCAGTGGTATTAATCCAGAAAGGAACCATTCCCCAAACCAGAGAGATGGGCTGCAAAAGTCAACCCCAAGGAGCTGAATCTCCCTACACCCCCTACATGGCTCAAAAAGCCTCTGGAAAGGCTTTTCCAGAGACCATATCAGAGCACCTGAAGTCACTCCTCTGTGATCCCCACTGCTGTTTACTACAGAGCAATCTCACTGAGCTTAGCCCCCCTCTGCTAAACTAGTGCTGGTGAGGATGTCCTGTTCTGTGACATCAATGCTGGTACGCTACTGAAGTGTCCCTTCACTGCTGATGCTGCGGAGTTACAACTTGGTATCTGTGAGCATAAGGAGTTAAAAAATGTATTTCAGTGAGACTTCAACTACCACTGGATTTTCTTCTAAAGCTTCTGTCCTCTCCTAAGTGTATTCCTGTTTCTGAAAGCTCTAGCCCAACGTATGGAATAGGACCATCGATGAATTTAAAAGTGTGCACATCTCTCTTAAATCAATTAAAATTCTTCAGCTCTCAACAGTTTGGTAGAGGTATGAGATAGAACAGAGACATTTTACAGCAAGGCCATCCTTCCTGTAGAAAATCTATGACTCTATCCAGTAAAGCACCCACTCCCTGGGCTGCCTCACCCAACTTAAAATAAATCTTAAGTAAAACAAACTGTGGAAATGTTACATTTGTCTTAATCTTTTTGTTGCTTAAAAAAAACAGCTGCTTACTTTTTCCCAACCTTTCAGGATCTTTGTGGGGCAGCTGCTGCTGTATCTCCATTACATCTGCAGGGTACAAGCCCAGAAAGAGCTTCAGCAGTTGCTGTAGTAACCACACTTCACTAACTGGCCGGGCACCCATAATGGAGTAGGTATCATACCATGACCATAGCAAATGCCGGGACAAAACCATGCAGGAGGAATGACTGATTTGGACATGAAAACTTCATGCTTAATATCTCTTACTATGAAGGATAATGCATGGGTTACACTCCTACACTTCCCCCTCCAATCTTCAATTTAATATAATTTGTATCTCAACAGGGTACTGCGTTGAGATCCCATTTCACTGTGGCCAAAGTGAGGTAGGCATTTCCAGTGTTGCAAAGCAACACAATGATTAGGAAATGACGAAAAACATTTTTTTAATTTCTTTTCACTATCCTACAAGCATTTCTGCTTTGTTTGACCACTGAACACTTTATCTAGCTCCTTATTTATATTACTAATTTGCTTCTTCAGGGCATAGTAGGTCTTATCTGGCAGTCATGTTTTCACACAAGACGTCATCTATCTTCTTCTGCTTCTTCAATACAACATCACAGCATACATATACAAGTGACAGCATCAATGCTAGTTATACATCTCTATTCAATTATGTCAATAAGACTTCTTTAAAGGGTATTTTACCCCGATATATTTGATTGTGAAGATTTCAGGCATGTATTTTATAGAGATAAAACAATTTTCTTGACAATGTCTGCTTGACTATCTGTAAAAGAAGATTGTAAAAAAACCTGCCAGAAGCATATCTTCAAAAGGCTATTTCATATTTATAAGTGCAAACTATTCAAGCTCAAAGTTTAAATACAGACAGAGGATAATTGCTACAATTTTTCACATATACAATTTGGGCAAGCATTTCTGTTCATGTGTAGCATATATAGCTTTTTAAAAGAAACTGTTGATGGTGTTAAGATTAAATATTTGAATGTTTATGTATGCTATGAAAGATTTGTTAACCTAGAAGAAAGGAACAAGTTAAAGTTTTTTGGTTTGTTTTTATTAAGTTTATCTAACTATAACCTATTACCTCCTCTTCTACCATATGATATGTCCTTTTTTTAGCTTCTTCCTCATAATTGGTCTAACACTTGAAAAAAAACCAGAAGATGTGTAGTTTTACCTTCTTTGCCAAGATGCCTCTAGAATTTAAAAATGTTTATTTCTATAACATCTGTTCAAAAATCTGAACCCTGTTCTAACTGAATGAAAACTCTGAAATCCATTTCCTTCCTTGGCTCTTTTTAACTCTTTAAAAAGGACAATATTGCATTGCAGACAGTAACGAACAGCCCATGAAGAATGAGCAGACACAATGTATTTCTTCCACTGGCAAGGCTGTTTGTAGAAAACAGAGTGTCACACTACATAAGAGATAAATAAAACTAGTTCATCTTTGGGTTAAAACTGAATCATCTATTCAAAGGCAAACACTATGAGCTGCAAAGTACCAGGAACCACTACCATGGACCTTTTGGTGAATTTAGTATTATTTTAAAGTATATTCTGCTTTGAAACATGAGCAAGGAGAGAACAGCAAGGAACGCCACTAAAACCAGATCATTCCTCTATGCCACCTGTACTGTCTCCCGCCCTTTCCTGACATGCAGAAAAGCACAGCAGTAGGATGCAGAAGAAATACTTGAGAAAGGAAAATTTGAGAGGGGGGATACAAGTGACCTATCAAAGCACTTTCAAACTGTGTTAAGAGACCTAAATGCTAGATATAAATGAAATATTACTTTTAATCTTGAGTTAATGTCCAGATGAGGGTTTATTTCCATGAGGACAGAGGGCAATCAATTCTCCCCAAGAAGCGCTTTACACTTGTTATGCTAGTATTACGAAATCCATGTTTTCAACATTCACATTTCAGCTCCTCCTTCCCTTGTGATGGGAAAAGCCTCATCATGAGGCTTTCAAACAATAATCAAATTACAATTCTGTTCTTTTGATTTCCATTTTATGAGACTTTGGAATTCCAGTTTTCACATTTACTCTGACATATGGGAAATAAAAAATTATTTACACCTAGAATTCTTAGGCATATAAATCATTTCAGAGCTTAAAAAAAAAAAAAAAAAAGATGCAACACAAGTAAAACTGCTGATGCTTAGTTTCCAACAAATTACTACTGTCACCTACAGTCAGAACCCCTGTGATAATCGCTTGTGTCCTGCTATGCAAGGAACAAGAAATGCTGTAGATAATCCCAATCTACTCAGGTACTGATTGACCAGCCAGTTACATGCAAACCAACCGGCTGTCAGCTGCACTCAGAATTTGTAATAGTTGAGTTGTGCCTTCCTCAGTGAGGGCCAAAAGAATGAAAATATGGGGGTGGGGAGGGATCTCCTTTACCTACACACTCATCTCATTATTATATTACTCAATTATATCTGTGCCTTCAACTCAGTTTGGCCAATGCACTGAAAAATTATTGGAGGGTTAGACAGAGCAGTCAAATGCACTTCATTTCTTTACATACCCTGCTCTACAAATTATGCATCCCTTCAATAGATCAGTTTTTAGATCTGTATAAACAGTGGAATGTGAACAATAAAGCTATAATAGGAAACAAAACATAAGAATTTTTTTCTCCTTCATGTGCTTTTTAAATAGACAAAATATTTCAAGAGAAAAAATAAAATTGCAAGGAAATTTTCTCCTTTCACTTATGAAAATTTTTATGTATGGTGCATGCTTTGCAACCAAGGTGTGAATAAACCTTATTTAATAAACCCTCCCAACTTTCATAAACATGAACTGCAGCTCAGGACAGTTAAAATTCCATTTGACAGAAGTAGATCTGGATAAAATTACATTAACCAGCACTGTAGCTTCATAATAGACATTAGAAGCACTTTAATATGAAGACAGACTCTGAGATACATTGCAAATTAAATTTATAATTGAACAATATTCACAAGTGATGATATCCTTTGATTCAAACTCTGGCCACTGCCATCCACCCATACACTATGCTAAACGCACCTTTACCCATTTAGGAAGTGCATTGTTACAGCTAATGAAAATTTAAAACTTACAGCAACTATGAAATAACTTCTACAGATTTACACTGACATACATTTTGACAACTGCTAAATTCAAAGATGAAGTGGAAAGTCAGTTCAGGAAACATTTATTGA